TATCCAAGTTCTTATTTTCGTCGTAGGTTTCGAATGAGAAAACATGTCTTTCTTCGTATAGTAGATCGCCTCTCCAATGAAATGGAGTTCTTTCAGCAACGGCGTGATGCTACAGGAAGAGATGGATTGTCAGCATTACAAAAATGCACAGCAGCAATACGTGTATTGGCATACGGCACAACTACTGACACTGTTGACGAATATCTTCGTCTTGGAGAGAGCACCACAAGGGCATGTTTGAAGCAATTTGTTGAAGGTATATGTTCTCTATTTGGTGAGGAATACCTACGACGACCAAATTCTACTGATGTACAACAATTATTATTTGTTGCAGAGACACGTGGTTTTCCAGGCATGCTAGGAAGTATTGATTGTATGCACTGGGAATGGAAAAATTGTCCGGCTGCTTGGAAAGGCCAATTCGAACGTGGAGATCATGGCAAACCTACAGTTATATTGGAAGCTGTAGCCTCATACGATCTATGGATTTGGCATGCATTTTTTGGCACACCAGGTACATGCAATGACATTAATGTACTTGATCGATCTCCGGTATTTAACGACGTTTTGAATGGCAGAGCTCCAGAGGTTAATTTTGTTATCAACAACCATCAATATAATATGGGATATTATCTTACTGATGGAATTTACCCTCCGTGGGCAACCTTTGTTCAATCGATTCGTCTCCCTCAAGGTTATAAAGCACAATTATTTGCGCAACATCAAGAAGCGGTTCGAAAAGATGTGGAACGTGCTTTTGGTGTATTACAAGCTCGGTTTGCCTTCATTAAAACTCCATCACTTATTTGGGATATTAATTTACTAGGTAAAATAATGAGAGCATGCATCATATTACATAATATGATTGTAGAAGATGAAAGGGACACTTATGTGCATTATTACGATACATCTCAATATGATCAAGTGGAGACAAATGATAACTCGAATTGGTCATACAACAATACGAGACATGCAACTATGGATCAATACCTACGGAACAGAATGCGACTCCGAGCTAGAGAAACACACCACCAGCTCAAAGCGGATTTAGTTGAACACATTTGGGAGAAATTTGGTCAATCGACTAATTAATTTATTTGAAAAATATATTGTAATATTATGTATTTTTTATTAAATTTAAGTTTGAATTTTTAATTAGTATGTGGGTGTGGAATTATTATTTTTATTTATTTTATTTATTTATGCTAAATAATTATTTTATTTTAATTAAATATTATAAGAATAAAATATAATGAAAAAATATAAGTTTATTTTATAAATAGATAAAATATTTAATGAGGTGGAAAAAGTAAAGATTTTAAAGGGTTCTTTGATGTGAATGTAAAATATAGTTGGAGTTCTTCGTGACGTGGCGGAGAGAGAAACTGACGTGGCACAGGAGAGAGAATGGGAAGAAACCCTGGATGGGTTTCTGTGTTGTGGATGGCCTAAGGGCATCCACAACGGGAGACGCTTGTTGAGAAGCGCCTCCCACGTCATCATTTATTAAATAAAAAAAAAATTAAAACACCAATTAACATAAGGAACGGTACATTGCGAGTGTACCGTTTCTTCCAATTTTTGTGGGCCATGGTCCACTTTTTTATTCAATAAATATTAAAAATAATATTTATAATATATACTTTTTTATTTATATTTATAATAATTTGTTTTATTAAAATATTAGATTTAAATTTTATTATATGAGTTTTATTTAATATTTATTTTTTTATTAAAATAATATTGTTAATAACTATAATTTTTAGTATGTGGGTGTGGAATTATTATTTTTATTTATTTTATTTATTTATGCTAAATAATTATTTTATTTTAATTAAATATTATAAGAATAAAATATAATGAAAAAATATAAGTTTATTTTATAAATAGATAAAATATTTAATGAGGTGGAAAAAGTAAAGATTTTAAAGGGTTCTTTGATGTGAATGTAAAATATAGTTGGAGTTCTTCGTGACGTGGCGGAGAGAAAAACTGACGTGACACAGGAGAGAGAATGGGAAGAAATCCTGGATGGGTTTCTGTGTTGTGGATGGCCTAAAGGTATCTGCATTAATGGTTTCTTCCATCGGAGAGAAACTCTCTCACTCTTAAGTGGCATGACAAGTGGAATTAGTGGGTATTTAAAAAAAATTATAAAATAATTTTTGGAGTTGGTGTAGAAAGGAACTTTAAAAAACTCAACTTTTTTGGTTTTAAATATATTTATAATTATTTTTATTTTTTATATATTTATATTATATAAAATTTTATTCTCTATACAATGATATATATTAATATATTTTTATTTAAATATATTTTAAAAATAAATAATTATGATATAAATAAGAAAATATATATTTTTTATTGATATGTAAGAAAGAGATGATGATGTGGAGGAAGACAGAAACTTTTGGCAGAGGCTCTTTGATGTCGATGGTCTAAGACATCTGCAATGGAGATACCCGCTTTTAAGTATTTTCACTACTTTTTATTATTCACACCACGTTAGCGGAGATACTCTCTTCTATGTTATATTTGCAACAAAGATACTCATCGTAATTTTTTAATAGATTTTTATTTTCATTTTATATATATTATTTTTTAGTTATAGTTTTAATTAATTATATATGTATAATTAATTATAAATTAAATATATTTATTGTTTAATATAATTTTATATTATTTAATTGCTTTAAAATTTATAAGTATATTTTATTTAATAAATTAAATTAAAATTTTTATATTGATTTGTTCAATAGAATTATACAATATTTGTATTTATATATTTTAAAATTTAAATTGATAAAATATATTCAATATCATTTTGTAAAATACAAAATATTATGAATTATAAAAATATTACAAAATTTAAATATAACAATAAATCAATATAAATTAACAAAACAAAACATATATAATATATCATATATATATATATACAAGTGTCATGTGTCTCAATTGGGACACATCACAATTGGATAACATCTCCCAGCATCAGAGATGTTGGAAGGCAAAATATCTCTCAATTTTTATTTTTTATTTTAAAAAAATAGTGATGTGGCGCATCTCCTCTCAGGCCCGATGCAGATGGTCTAAGACACTAATAGAGTAATTTTGCCAATTTTTTTTTTTTAATTTGTATTAGATTTTCATATACTAATTACTATTTAATTATCAACGCAATAAGTAAATGAGACCCTTGCAACGAAGATAGTATATAACATGGAAAACAGTTAGGATGCTTAATTGAAAAAATCAACACCATTTGATTTTAAATCAGTACCCCTAATATATACAAATAACACACCGTCTTATTATATACACAACACATGTTGTGTATAATAAAAACAAGTGTTGTTGGTTTATAATTATAAGTGTGTTATATAACAGTACGTGGTGTGCTGACATCAACTATTATTTGTATTGTATAAGTTATTGCATGTGATGTTAGTTCATGTGATGTATTTGTATTGTTGGTTCATAATTACAACTGTGTTGTATAAGACTATAACATGTGTTGTTAGTTTATATGTTGTATTTTGTATTATATGATTCATACGGTGTGCTGCCTGTAGTAATATCGTGTGTTGTTCGACAGCGTACCGTGTGTTGTCCGATAGCGTACCGTCTGTTGCGGTGTGCCGTCAACACAATGTCTAATTTTAAAATTCAGTATGGTAGCCGCTGCCATATATGATCACACAAGCCTACTCAAAATCTCTTTATTTGTATGTCTCTAAAAAAAAATAAATATTTTTTATCTACATTTAAAATTCCACTCCTTTTATAAAATTAATTTATCTTATTATAAATAAATATATATATATATATATTTTTTATTAATTTGTATTATTTAAAAGTTTGTTCTTTTTATAATGATATTCATATTACATATATTTTATTAAGATATAATATTTAAATATATATTACAAATTTATTTTAATTATATTAATTCTTATTTAAAATTATTAGCAATATTATTTATATAAAAATATAAAATAATAATAATATAATTTACTATTATTAACTGATTAAATTATCTTATTTTAAAGAAGGTGTCCAAAATTAAATTAATCATTTAAAATGGGAAGAAAAGTTTATTTACTAAAATAGTGTGGTTTGTTTTTCTAAAATAAATTCATAAATTATTGCTGTTTTTCTTTTTAAAACTTAAGAATATTTGGAAATTTAACAAATAATAATCCCCAATCAATTTCATAAATAATGACTTATGCTTAATAAATACTCCTCCGTCCCATATCTAAATATTCATTTATTTTTTACACAGAGTTTTAGAAATATTAATATTATATTAGAATAAAGTAAAAATAAAGATAAAAAAAACTAAATTAACCCTGTTAGTATTGTATGATATAAAGACAATGACATTTGTGTAATATATTGTAAATTGGAAAGATATTCGTAATGTTAGGTAGATTGTACCATTACTAAAAAATAAATAAATAAATACTTTGTTATGGAATGGACCAAAATGAAAATTGGATATATTGTTAAGTGACAGAGAAAATATATCATAACAATATTATAATATACTCTAAGGTCACAATTATTTTTTTGAGTGTTAATGTTATAATATTAATTATTATATCCAGAGGTAATGCAAATTAAGAAAATATTTTAATTAGTATTTTATAATACTAAAAAAATGATATTTATACAAAAATAATTATATATAAATATATTTTTAATGTTAAATATTAGAATGAAAAAATTAAATGTGACCCCTAACACGAAAGGAATATTAATTACACTCTTTTCGTAAAAAAAAATAATTTATTTAAATTTTTTTGTGTATGGATTTTAATATTATAGCATGTCCTTTTTTTTATAGGAAAACAAATACGAAAGTCAAGACCAAAAGATTTGAGTGAATTTGATCCCAATATTTGATTGTAGCATTAAATTTAACAGCAGGACCAATCCGACGTCGTTACGGTAAACGGCGACGCTGCGCCAGCCAAGCCAAGCCAAGGGGATAAAACCGACAGCCGAGACATAGATACATACATTTCTATCACCGAGAAAGCAACAACGAAGAAGCAACTGCACGATTCTCGCCCCCCTTTACTCTGACACACAGCAGAGCAGATGAGAATCCGGGAGCCCCATCCTCTTCTTTAGAGATTCCTGCTTTGAATTATTCGGATCTCTCTTCAGCGTGATTCTGATTGATTTTTTTTTTTTTTTTTTCCCGGTTATTCTTTCCCTCCAGCAGTAGTTAAGTTTAGGCCTGGTTGATTTCTATACTGAATTTAGTTGCCCCATGTGTTGCTGATTGATAGCGTGCCGTGATGGCAGTTTGTCTTCTGCTTGCGTTGGGAAGTAATTAATCACCGTATTGGACTTCGGTTTTCTTCCTTGCCTTTTTGGCGATGAATTGGGACTAATTAAATGACTAGGAGAAGTGCTTTGCTGTGACGAGAATTTTCTGGTTACTTCTTTTCCTGATTTTCGGTGAGTTTCGTGGTTTTTATTTATGAACTTATATTTAGATGGTTATTGCCTTTACTTGTAGATTTTCTTATGAATCTTCTGTTGGTTTTACAGTTCAATTAGGCACTTGATGGTTATTTAACACATCAGTATCTACTTTTGCAAGTTGAATTGTCTTTAACTCCTCATCCCAATAGCTTGATGAATCACCTTCAATTACATGTTTCATCGATAATGAGTAAAATAGTTTGCACCTTAATTCTGTATTATTACTCTGTAACCTCTGTTCTTGATGATGAGATGGGCGCTGAATGACTATGAATTAGGTAACAATATGTATTTTTTCCTGCTTGTGTTACATTTTTAACAATATTTGGGTGTTATTGTGAGGAAAAGCATTACCTACTTCCATATGAGAAATTTGTTTGGATGCAGGATTCTTCTGAGGAATGGATGAGTAATGGCGCTAGCAGAAGCTAGAGCTGCCTGGCAGAGAACGGCCAACAGATGCTTGGTCCAAGAAGATGCAAAAAGAGCGCCAAAATTGGCTTGCTGCTCATCATCTCCGATTCCCGTTACACAGGCTGAAACAGGATCCACAGATGCTCCTAGCGGCCTAGAAATTCCTTCTGTTGGCTCGCTGCCGTTTGATCGAAATTCTTCATGTTCCAATTTATCTCCCAGTTCAAAATGGTGGCTGCGGATGCCACCAAATTATGGGTATACAAAAGGCATGGCGGATGACCATTTTACTTCTCTGGAGAGAAATGTTAGAACCTGCAATATTCAAGAAAGCCCAAGAGACACAACAAGGAGCGGAGATGATTCGAGGCATAGTGATCTAATTTCACATTTTGAATCACCTCTTGATAGCCAGAGTAGAAACTCATTAACTTGTGAAAAGAAAGACTTTTCTGTTAAAGATGATAAATTAGGGGCATTCTGTAAGTGGAATTGCCAAGAGCACCTGAAGCTCAATGCCAAGGAGGATATTGGAGTTCTAAGCGAGGAATGCTTTCATAGTGAAGTTTCGAAATATTCTAGTGATCTTTATTTTGATTCTGAGTCTTCTTGGATTGGAGGTGTGAAAAACACTCCTTGGTGGCGAACTGCAGATGCTGAGGAGTTGGCTTTATTAGTTGCACGAAGGTCACTTGATCATATTGAGAATTGTGACCTTCCCAGGCCGCAGAAAACTCACTCCAAGAATCTGAGTATGAATATGTGCTGTCCTATTCACGACGAAAAATACGCAGCATCTCCAGGTCAAAAACCTAATACCCATGATTCACGTACCAATCAATTTAAACCAGGTAACCCTACAGCAAAGTGGTCTTGCGAAAAACTAAGAATGTCAGTTGGAGATCAATCTGTGTCGGGTACAGATAAGGCATTAAGGTAAACTGCCACTTGTATTTCTCTAGTTTATGTAATCTAAACTTTGACATAATTTCCCTATGCATTCACTGTGTTTGGAGATTAGCCTTGGCACATGTCATTGGTTTATAGAGGGATTTATGTGAAACTACTACATTTGTGAGAAAATATGCAATTTGGCAAATAAAATATCATAGATTTAGAGAAAGGGTGCTTTTTCTTGTATTGATTTCTTTCGATGCAATGGACTACCTGTCAAACTGTTTATCCAGTCGCATTTTGGGGCATGTTTGAGTTTGCAGGATATCATGCTTTCTTGCTATCTGTTAGATAGATATGATTTAGTTAGGATAATATTAGATTTAATTTGTTAGATAGATTTTCTATGGACACTGATATATATGTATATTTCCCTTCTTCTTCCCCTGGAATGAAATAAATATATTGTTCCCTTATTTCTCTACACTATCATGTGGTCGCTATTGTGTGTGACATGTTTCTATCATGTAGACAACTTACCTTCTTCCATGTTGTGACACTTTATTCGAATATCAGGAGCAGCGCAGCACACAAAAGGATGGCAGAAATGCCTGCAATGGAGGATGATACAGGCAAGGCTCAACTCTTGGAAGCCCTACGGCATTCTCAGACACGTGCGAGAGAAGCAGAGCAAGTGGCAAAACAAGCGAGCACGGAGAAGGAACACATAATCAAGCTTGTACTCAGACAGGCATCTCAACTCTTTGCTTACAAACAGTGGATCCAACTCCTGCAGCTGGAGAACATGTATATCCAATTCGAAAATAGCAAAAGCCAGGCAGCATCCACGTGGGAAAAGTCGAAGAGTAAGAAGGGGAGTGCGAATGGATCAAGGTGTGATTACGGAGTTGCTTTGGCAGTGGGGTTGGGTCTTATTGGGGCAGGGTTGCTGCTGGGATGGACTATTGGGTGGATCCTACCAACCTGCTGGTGAATTTCAAGGAATCTTCTTCATCTTTTGTCGGACTCTTAGGTTTGTGTAATATATATATATATATATATGTATGTTTTGATCTGCTGCATTTAGTTAGTGATGTATATACAAAATATACAAGTACATTGATTTGAATTTTGTATGATTCACTATGGATTTTTAAATCTATGTAATATTACGAACGTTTTGATGGTTGGATAGTGTTGGACTTGGCCTTGAACTATCGATATTTTACAAAAGAAAAAATTATTTATAATCCAGCCGTGGTTTGAAAAATCTGTCTCATTTTCTCCATTATTTAAAATTTACATGAGATCTTCTTTAGATCTTAAAAGATATTGCATAATTATTTTTACTGAATTCTATGCAATATTTTAAAAAGTACAACACAGTTTTATACAATATTTAAAAGAATTTATGTAATATTTTTTAAAGAACTAAAGAGTTCTTAGAGTTCTAAACCATAAATAAATTTACGTGTGTTTGTTGGGAGGATTTTGGAAGACTTTCACTATTTACAAAACAATTTCCTCTAAAATTATCAAATCAAATATTTATTTTTTATTTTTTTATATTATATTAAAAATTAATTTTACATTCTAAAAATATTAGATCAATATTTATTTATATACAGTTATTTCAATTCAAATATTTTTTTTATTCAAATTTCAACCGAAAATCCAAACCTCTGAACAAACACACAAAATTTTGATAGTTTGTGCATATGAATGCAGAATGAAAAGGATTTGGAGTGAGCCTAAGTGTGGAGGTGACTTTTTGATGGAGAGACAGATGGAAGAGTTTTACGGGTCTTTTATCTCATAAGGAAGTCTTCAATAAAGGTTACAAACTCAATGAATGTGCTGTCAAATGAAGTTTTTATTGAATAAAGAATAAAAGAGAGAGCATCAGATCCAATCAATTACACGGCTTTTTTTTTTAATTATTATTTTATTTAATTGTTTGTATTTTCGTTCTTTGGAGTATTTTATCTTATCACTATGTAAGTTCTCCTTTTAAATTTTTAAGCTTTATTTTAATTTTATCCTGCTAGTTCCCCACTTTCACTTACAGTTTATACAAGGTATCTTTTGTGACTTATCAAATCCAAAATTTACAAGTGAGAGTTTGTCCAAGAAGCTTGTTTGAATTAGTCTGGAAACACCAGCTTTATTATATTTGTTTGACATGTTCTTTCTAGTAGGGCCACTGACTGAAATTTGAGAGATGTTGGGATCTAGCCATCATCTTCCAATTCCAATGAACTTGCTAATATCAGATCTACTATTAACAACAAAATTTTAAAAAAGCGAAACATTGTCATACTAGTTAGTGTGTTCTAAGATCACATTAAGGCTGAAATCAAAGCTTCATTGCATTGCATGATTCAGCCGAGATGTTGAAATATCTAGCGGATATTATGTCACCAACCATCGGAAATGAGATAGTATGGTGTTGGAATGAAGAAGCACACAAATGGAAACTCCAGCATCTGAGGCTAGTCACAGTGAGGTAGCTTAATTCTTCCATCCAACCATAAAAGCAAATTTTACAGAAGTATGAGGTTCCTTAAGTCCGTGGCCGAGGAGACACAAGTTCCACAAGTCCTACAACAACATAGAGTGTTCAACAAACTTGGAAGGCCTAAGGAAATCTAGGAATGTCGATTCATGCTTCTCAGGTGAACCGGACTCCTTATGATCCATGGAGGATTCCAAGCAGATCAGATCCGCCCCCTTCAAGGGGTCTGGCCGTCGCTAAGATACATATATCTATGGCTGTCCATCTTGCCTTGAATTTCATATTCCACACTTTTTTTCATTATATCCTTGGGAGAGTTTCTTCTATTCATCCTGAATCTTATGTGACAAGGGGAGAACCCTTTTGTTCATAGGTATCATTCAAGATCTATCTAAACATTAAACCCCAATAAATATATATAGTGAGGAATATGGGGATCTTGTAGTTCAGTTTGTTTTCCGAGGAAGACTCATATTCTATGATCGAGCACATCAACTGCTTTATGACTCAATATGAAGAGAAGTTAAACGACAATGAATGGTATAGGCTCCAACTCTTTTCTTTTTATTTAGATCATCTCCAACCCGCCAACTCATTTATCCAGTTTTAACTCATATGCAGTTGGTACAGTAATTTTACTCCAACCATAACTCCAATTTTCACTATTATTCTTCAAATATTTAATTTTTTTATTATTTTTTTTAAACAATTTTTTATTATTATAATTTAAAATAATTTTTTTAAAAATTTAGAAAAATAAAAAATAAATTTTAAAATTAAAAAAATTAAAAAATTAAAATATAGTGCAACGCCAATGTAGCAACTCAAAAAATGGCGCAAAAGTTGGCGTCAATTGGAGATAACCGACGTCAAATAACCCTGGGTTGGAGATGCTCTTACCAGCTTATGCTTTTAATTTGCTAGCTGGACTTCAACTAAATTTCATTCAAAATTGGGCTAAAACTTAAGCAAGCATTTTACAAAAAGTTGTACAATCTGTTGTTTGAGGTGATCATTTCAAAATTTACCAATCTACAAAAACAAGTCCTTCACCCCCAATAGGTGTAGCAGGAAGAAAGATTGCCAAGGATGTGTTTAGGGTCTAGGGTGTGTCACCTTCATTTGAAATCAAACGTCATTTTGTATCATATTTTTAGTATATATTTATATAATTAATTGTTAGTTTTTTTATTATTTTATTACCTTTTAAAGTTACTTTAGTGTATTTTTTAACTCTATTTTTATTTTTAGTGTAATATATTAATTTATGTGATTATTGTAATATTTATGTTAATTTATATTTAACTAACGACAATCTTCTTTGATTAAATTAGATTTAATTAATTGGAAAAATTAATAATTAAAGTTGGTATTTTCTTAAGTAGTTTGGTTAAAATATATTTAACTTTTCTTTCTTGGTTTAATTACCTTTTGAATTATCTTTTATGTAATTATTTTTATTATTTTTTCTGTTCCACTTACCATATTTACATTAAAGTATCTGTCCGTTCCCCATCTCAGGTTACTTTCTTCTTTTTGAAAAATATTACACAGCTTAATTTTATTTTAAATTTTCTAATTTATTTTTTTAAATTTAATTAAATTAATTAGTTATTTTAATATTTAATCTATAATCTTATATTAATTATTTTTACTAATACATTCTTAATAATCTACTAATTAGACTTATTCTAAATTTTTGTGTCTACGGTAACCCAGATATGCAATGTGGGACGGAGGAAGTATTACTTTATTTATATTATATTCTTATTATTGGCTTGTATTTAATGTTGGTTTTTTTAAGCAACTTTGCTTTAAATTTTAGTTAATTCACTCCTAATTAAATTCTAACTTCTTCTGTAGGTTTGACTATTATCGTATTGCTAATCGCAAAAAAATTATGCAATTTAAGTAGAATCCGCCAAAAACGCAAAGTCAACAGTCAACAATATCAAGATTCTAGCTTGCAAAATTAGCTTGCTAGCAAAACTTTCTGTTTTGATTTATGTTTTTGTATAAATTAATAGAAGGCTCAAGAATAAGTTATTTATAAATGTTAAATTTCTAGAAGCTTTTCTCAACCTATATAAATATCCTCTCTCCACCTCTCATTTTACATGCACCACCACATTCTAAAACATGACTGTTCATTTTTTTTTATCCTCCCAGCCACTCCATTATCCTCTCGATTTTCACTCTCAGCCATCTCCCATTTAATACCCGACCCGTAGTAGTGTTACCTCATTAGGTGTTTTATGTTTCAAATTAACGTTGCCGATATGTTTATTTCAAACAGCTATGGATTTATGGATCCTAGTCCATTTTGAATAATATTTATGTAATTGGATAGATTTTTAAGTTAGCTTTCCAACATCGCATACGGTGAGTCAATCGGAGATCAAATAAAAATTTTATGGCCAAAACAATGACTAAAAGTATGCTGATTTAAGAAACACATTTTTTTAAAAAAATATGTTGACAACTTTAAACTGGTTTATAAGTATAAAACATCACTTTTCAACCTATTTTTTACTCTCATTTCATTCCCAAACACCCCTAAAATAGTTCTAGCCGCCTCCCACCTCCCCTATCTCTATTTTAAGTGATTTTTGGTAAGTTTTTCATATCTTCTTCTTCCTCACCATTTGAACTCGATTTCACTACTTTTATGCATTTGTTATGCCCCTGGAGTTGGCCAGTGCTATGCCAACTCTTGTGTATGGATAAGCCGGTGTTAAGCCATTCGAGATTAAATATAAATTAAGTAAATTCAATAGATTACTTGAAGGAGCTCTAGAGTTAAGCGTACTTGCTCTAGAGTAATTTGAGGATGGGTGCCCCCTAAGAAGTATCATTCTCTGCGCGTAAGTAAGGACAAAGCACGCTTGAATGATTCATGTTGACCTGTGGGACCAGTCTAATCCCGATACACCCAGTCTGTATGGCTTGTAGGCCGGGATGTCACAATATTATCTTAAGTTATTTTATTTATCTGAAGGTTGGCAAGTGTACGCCTCTCCTTGTAAAATTTCAGCAAGACATACGTCATCGGAGTCATCATCGAAAGCCAGCTCATCGTTGTGTTCCTGCACGAAAGCGTATGGAAAGTATGTTGTTGTCGATCAGCTTGTGCATCACAGTGGATTTGTTCTGCGGCGAGTTGTGGATGAGAAGGTGCCTCGATCATGGTTGCAGTATTATGCGATGCGGCTAGTGGTTTTAGAATTGGCGGTGGACATGTGTGGCATTGTGTGCCTTCCATGATCGCTTCGTGGTTGATTCCAAAAAGCTGGATTTGAAGATTTTCCGACTGCTGTTCCATGACCTTGAGAAGTTTGCGGAAGGCCTTAGAAAATCTGAAGACCAACATTTGGCGGCTGTGCGGTCAAAAAAGCAGGCGCCTGCATTGGTTGCGTAAATCCCGGCTGTTGGTTTGCCCCTCGATGTGTGTTGTAAAGACGGATTTCCTCGTGCATGTCTACTAATATCAGGGTCTGCAAAATCACACCAAATCCCGTTGAAAATGATGTAGTTCGTTGCGCCGAAGTTGAACCCGCCACCATGCCTACAAAGACCGCAAAATTGTGCGTCCTTTGCGGAAACACACTCATTGGGTTGTCCAATTCGCCCCAGCACCATATCTAGGTATCAAGGCGATTGGGAACCATGTAGGTGCCATGCTGAACCTTGGAAAGTAGGCGAAATGCAGCG